GGCAACACTTAAAAATAAATTGAGTTGTTCTTGTGTAATGCGTTGGGAAGAACTTACATGTAATTGGAATGTTCTTTTGTATTCAATGGGTTCTTGCTATTAAAATGGCTTGCTATACCATGCCCGTAGCCAGGGGGGGTTCGGGGGTTCGGAAGAACCCCCCCACAAGGCTCAAAGGTCCACTTTTTGGGCCACTTTTTATGTGAAGGGTCCACTTTTTGGTCCACATTTTATGTAAAGGTCCACTTTTTGGTCCACATTTTATGTAAAGGTCCTAGATTTTTCTTGAAAAGATAGACTGGAATCGTAGAAAAACTGCTTCCTTTGTCATTGAATAAAAATTTATCTCTGATTTTTTCTTGGAAATCCTCTCAAAAATGCACGAAATGCCATTTTAAAAGGTTCATTTTTCAAAATTTTCCGGGGGAGCATGCCCCCGGACCCCCCTAGGAACCTCGCGCCTACGGCGCTCGAGGTCCCCTCAAGCAGTGGGACGAACCCCCCCATTCAAAATCCTGGCTACGGGCATGTTTAGGGTGACAAATATCATACAAAAATATTCTGGATCAGGAAATCTGTCTGATATTGACACTTACTGTCATTTCTTAGCACATTTTCCTCATCATTTCATACTTGAAGCTTTTGAAATGACCCAGAAACAAAATACATGATGAGTCCCTTTATTTTTGGGTACCACCAATAAATACATGTACTAGTAGCTAGAACCAGCCTACCACACAAAACAAGCAACTGCTTTCTGTTGGCAATGTTGCATTTTTCACTCACAGATATCAGTATGATGTAAGATGTTTTTCTCTGTATCTGTATAGCCGGTATAACCGCCTTTCGGCGTAACACACCAGCTTCGCAGGCACGCGGCGCGGCGGCAGCTGGCTATATTACACCGATCGACTTGTTACACCTAACCCTTGAACTTCTAGCTCTAGACATTGTTTAAAGCTATCTATTGACAATGCCCCTACTGTACTTGGTGACAGTGAGTTCCACTCTGCGATAGTTCTAGGAAAGAATGAATTCTTGAACACCTCAATCCTTGGTTGATAACTCTGGTACTTGAATGCGTGGCTATTTCTTGTTCTCTTCTGGGCTGGTATTAGGTACTTAGTAGTTGGGACATCCACCAGTTTATTAGACATTTTGTACATCATGCATAGTCTAGACATCTTTCTCCTGTCTTCCAGTGAAGTCCACTGTAGGTTTCTTTTCATTTCCGTGACACTAGCACCTCTTACATAGTTGTTCATACAGAATCTTGCAGCTTGATTCTGTACCCTTTCCAATTTGTCTTTGTCTTTCTTTGTATATGGATCCCATACTGTCGCAGCGTATTCTAGGTTCGGTCTTACAAGTGACGTGTATGCAAGTGATTTTACTCTAGTTGGACATGCCCACAGATTACGTTTAATCACTCCCAATGTCTGTTTCGCCTTAGTTGTGATATTATTAACATGTGTACCCCACTTCAGTCCGCTTGTCAGCGTGACGCCCAGATACGGATGGATTTTTGTGGTTGCTAAAGCCTGACCACAAAACTGGTAGCTAGTTGCATGTGGTGTTCGTTTGTTTGTTATGTGCAATAATGTAGCATTTTTCGGGATTAAACTGCATGAGCCATTTGCTTTGCCATTCTTCCAGGGTGTTCAGGTCTTTTTGGAGAAGTTGTGAGTCGGTCTGTGTAGAAAGCTCTACATACAATAGACAGTCATTCGGCAAATAACCTCACATTTGAGTCAAGCTGATCTGGTAGGTCATTTATATACAAGAGAAAGAGCAATGGCCCCAGGACGGTTCCTTGAGGGACCCCAGACGCTACTTTAACTGGAGCCGACGCCTTCCCTTCAACCACTACTGTTTGCTCCCTGTTGGTCAGGAAAGCCTTTAACCAATTCAGCGTAGGGCCTTGGATTCCATAATACTCCAGTTTTGAGATGAGCCTGCCATGGGGGACTTTATCAAAGGCTTTAGTGAAATCAAGTATTGCTAAATCTACCTGCCGTTTACTGTTTAGTGCGCCAGCTATGTCATGGACTGTTAGTATAAGCTGTGTTTCTGTGGATCGTTTGGCTCTGAATCCATGCTGGTAATCTGTTAATATACTGTAACTTTCTAGGTGCTTCATGATTTGGCTATGGATAATATGTTCAAGTAGTTTGCAGGATATGCAGGTCAGTGAAACAGGTCTGTAGTTGCTGGGGACCGCTCTATCTCCTTTTTTAAAGATGGCGCATATATTTGCATCCCTCCAATCTTTAGGGATTTCTGCAGTGTTTAGCGAGTGTTGGAAAATATTGGTTAGAACAGGCGCGATTTCACTAGCTGTCAACTTGAGGAACCACGGTGGTATTTGGTCTGGTCCGGATGCTTTAGAGGGATTGAGACCTTGAAGCATTTTTTCGACACCATCAGTAGAAACTACTATATGTTCCATTGGAGGAGTACAGGGCTGGCCTAGAGATGGCATATCTGTGGTGTCTTCCTCTGTGAAAACACTTTTGAACTGTGAACTGAGTACTTCTGCTTTTTTCCCACTGTCACTGATGATGGTATTTCCCACCTTTAGGGGTGCTACCCCGACAAGGTCTTTCCTCAGTCCTTTTATGTACGACCAGAATGTTTTGGGTTTGTCAACTATAGCTTCTCCCAGTATGTCTGCCACGTATTTAGAGTGTGCTTGTCTTATGCTTTTCTGAACTCCCTTCTTAACTCTCTTATATTTGTTCCAGTCTTCCTCTTGGCCTGTTTTCTTAGCTTTGTTATAGAGCCGCTGCTTCTTACGACAGTGCCTCCTTAGGTTTCTGTTGTACCAAGGCAAGTTGTATCTGCTTGATGTTATCTTACTTGGGATGTGCTTGTTCATCGTGTCTTTCATTTTGTCTTTGAAGTCTGACCACTTCTGTGTAACTGACATATCCTGAGTTCTTTTGTGAAAGTTAGTTGCATAATCCTTTAGGTCTTTCTTAATGGCTGGTTCGTCGGCTTTTGTGCGGATGTACACTTTTCTCTTAGGTTTCCTGTTTTGTTTCAGTGCCAGGTTAACGTCCACTAGAACCATGTCGTGGTCACTTATCCCCGGGACTACTGTGGTCTTCTCAATTATGTTGGGGTTATTAACTAAGACCAGGTCCAAGAGATTACCATTTCTAGTTGGTTCCTGGACTTTTTGTTGAGTAGTAAAAGATCTTGACATTCATATATTTAATATGAACGTCCAACTCTTATATTCATATTTGTATGACCAAGGACAGTATAATGTCCTTGGTATGACCTATCTTAGAGAGCTGTTATTACAAGAATTATGTACCACTCATTTTTTGACAATGTTAGTTTAATACTGTTATGATTTTTTTTGGCGACACCTCTAGATTGGAGCCATCCACCAGAAGAGGATGTTGGCCTTCATCAACCATTTCATCACCCACACAGCGAGGTTTCTCAACAGGTTCTCCTGCGTCTGTGAGGAGGTTGGTCAAGTTTACTCGTGTCTTCATTTGTTTTACTTGGAGCAAAGGACTACGAAAATTTTCAGTGGAAGCATATCAGTAACTTAGGAAGCAAAATGGTGCCTTCCATACATTTTGGCAAGACCTAGTCAATGTATAACGGACCAGAAAATAACCTCTACATAGAGATGTGTTGATTGCATATAAGATATTTCTCACACACAAAAAAGAGCTTTTGTCCAAACATCACTCTAGAGAGTACGGTTTCAAACACTGAAAAGCTTACCATAGGTTGGTCACTTGTACTGGACTGAGTTGAAGAATGTATGTCTTTATCAACTTTCTTCCCATTCAGAAACTTGCCAACATCAACTTGAGAATACAGAGAATAGAGACAACCATGAACATACTGGAGGCAAAGGTAAGGACAACATCACATAAAAAAACTTACCACAGGGCTAGAAATACTTTTGGGGGCATTTCAAGCCCTGTACCAATATTATCATAACTGGTGCCTGGAATTCTCTATGGCTGTTGTAACTTTGGATAAGATTGTTCAACTTTGATGATGTTTACTTGTTTGTTGGCATCCAGATAGCGTCCATTCCTGGTCTGGAAAACATCACAGGGGACAGCGCCCCTCCCAGTACAGCAGGGACAGCCGGAACAGCAGTGCCAACAGGGACAGCACCAGCTGACAGCACAGCATCAGCACAGCAACCAGCAGAGTCAGAGGTCAGTCTTAGTACTTCTATGTACTTCAAAAGTGTTTTGTGGGGTGTCTAATCTGTGGGTTTTGTATTTGTTTGTCTGGACAGAGTAGGATGATAGTACATGTACATGTAGTAGACATTTTACAATATACTAGTATGCTTATTTTTTCTTTCTTCTGTGCATATCTGTGAATATTTAACATTTTCTGTCATCTGTTCTCCATCATGCCAGGCTGTTCCAGAAGCTGCTGCCCCTCCCCCTGAAGAAGCAGCCCCTGCAGCGCCCACCATGACTGTGGCACAGGACCCACGATATGCAAAGTACTTCAAGATGATCAACATGGTGAGTTATCTCAATCCAATCAACCTTCAGAGTATTCTTGAAACATGTCTACAGACAACTTGGTAAAGATGACAAGCACCGACATACTGTACCTACTTTGTATGAACTGTTTTGTTCTCCAGATTTTACACCATGACTATGATTTAGCAGTGCTCTCACTAGTGCTAAGAGTTCTCTCCTTACCTGTTACCTTATAAAAAGACAAGTGTATTTTCCTCCCAGGGTGTACCAGTCCAGGCTTTGAAGACAAAGGTTGCGATGGAAGGACTGGACCCAGACCTGTTAGAGTAAGTTTGTTTCTTTTGCCCTTGTCTCTGATCTCCATTTATTCCTGTTATGCTTGTCCTAGTGGTTTTGTAGATACTGTGTTTCAAATACATGTCCATGTATATTGCATAGTTCACAGTCACTTCTGTAGTGTGAACTTATCATTTCCGGTATAATATCATGTGTCTTTCACACACACACACACACACACACACACTCCCTGCTTTTTGTTGCCACTTTGAAGATCAAGTTCAGTGAACATGTCCATTTTCCTTAGACCATGAAATTTGGCCACCTTGAAGACAAAGAGAATTACAGTAAACAGTAGATCAGCTAGGTTTGTATTTCTCATGAAATAAAATGTTTAGAACAAGTGGTTATCACTTGTTTTGGATGGCATTTGTTTGTTTATGTGTGAAATGGCACTTGTTCAAGTTGTTACATGTATAATTGAGGGTATAACTGCATTCCAGCACTCCTGACGCCCCAGCCCCTGCTGGAGCCCCACAGGAAGACAGTGACAGTGAGAGCGCAAGCAGTTTCACTGACAGCGACTAGATGTCACAGTTATCACATTTACTCTACAATCAAGACTAGTGCTGTGTACCAGTTCGCTGGAACTAGTTCTGGACTTACAAAGGAAAAAATCATGTCAAATTCCCAAATTTGAAATCTTCAATAGTCAAAAATTTGTGCTGCAAAATGAAGAAAACATTGCCATTGGGCACTGTCAAGTGTGCTCCGTAGTAAATTATGTGGCCACAGTTTAGACCAGACGTGCCCCGCAATCTTGCTTCTAAACCCTGGTAGTGCAGTGCTCACAACAAAATTTTGCAGTGAAGATGCCCCATTTTCAATTGGGAAATGTTAACTGAGAAGTCTCTCTGTACTTTCTATATGCCCTAGATTTAATAAACCTTTGGACTTAATTCCAGAACTGAACATGGGTTTATGTACATGAATACAGCACTATCAAGACTCATTTCATGGAGAATAAATCTTTCAGAGTATATCAAAATGAGCTTTTCCTTTTTTTGACGTAAAGAAAGAAAACAATAACATTGACAAATTCTTTCTTAATTATGATTAGAACACAAAATGTTATTTTAAATGAAAATAATTGTCCAGTTAATAGGTGCCAACACTTGATTTGTAAGGTGACTATTTTGTGAAGTGGATAAACTGTAATAATTTATGTAAAACATTTATATGAATTCCTTTATGACATTATGTAAGGAAATGTTTTAAGAAAAAAATGTTTATGTCACCATCAAATAAAATGTGTACAAATCAATTGTATGTTAGCAATGTCTTCAGTAAACATATTAACCACAGTAAACATATTAACTATTACATGTATGCTGGCAAAATACCTCCCCCCCCCCATGTACCAAGTCAAAAGAACACATTGTTACACATTTTGCAGTTTATTATAATGACCTCATCACAAAAAGATGATACAAAACAGTCAAAACCAAGGATATTTCACTTGCACACAATTATTGCAGTCAGTTGTGCCCGGAAGCATTTTCTTTTGCAGACAGCTACTATCAGCAAATAACAAACAGGTTGCACTAAAATACCCAAAGTATTCCATTCCTTTACACTTCTCTCTATGCCACTGGTCAAAGATAAATTTGAAAAGACACTGGATTTTGGAAAGAAAATTTATACAGATATAGAAATTAAGTCATGCCTGTAGTTACAAGAACACTACTGTAAGTCTTGAAACATGCACTGTGATTTTTTTGCAGTGATTTTTTTTCTCTACCACAAATTGATGACGTTGCCAATGTGTCTCCCTTGTATCACTACTACACTAGAATTGTTCGAACCGTAATTTAAAACACTACAAAAAACTCCCTCCTATGCAAAATAAAACCACCGCGACAGTTAATAAATTTACAGTACTTCAAATGATCTGCAAATCTGATGATATATGGAACAAGTAAAAATACTGTTGGGCTTCAAAATATATTATGCCCTCAAAATTTTTATACTCTTCAAATTTAAAATAACCAGATAGACCGAGTGATTGCTAATTTTCTGGCTGAATTGTACATGAATACATGATAATAATTTAAGAGTTTGAAATCCACCTAATTTTGGAGAATGAATAATTATTAAACTAATTCTGAAGCAACCTCTGAACATGCAAAATTGTGGTTCTGCAACCTCCATAAGGCCACACCAATTTAATTTGTTGGTTCTCGGAATCGCCGCTTCAAAAAATCGCAAAATGAAAAAAAAAATTAATTCTTGTTAATTAGAAATCAATAACATCGACAATTGATCCTTGATACATAGGCTATAAAACAGCAATGTTTTAGCATGTATAGTCATAGCTTTGTTCTCAATCCCTTTTTCCAGCCTTAGCTTTACCATTTGGGCATGTTTTTTTGTTGTTGTTTTTTTCGCCCTGTCGCTTTACATTTTTCATGAAAAAATCTGAGAACCAACAAATTAAATTGGTGTGGCCTAAAGTTCTTCTGTTGCAACCCTGAAATATAACCTGTGATAAAAACTTTTAAATCACCTTGCGTAGTAAATAATTTTTTTGTTAAACTTAACTTAAAACTTTAAATAATTGGTTTAACCATATTATATACGTGTACTGCGGAAATATTTGACATCATTTCACTGTGTTTTCCTCCAATTACTGAACCACCTTTCGCATGTTTGTGTCAAAGTCACCATGATATAACAGTTAACATCAAATTTCCCATTTGCTGGGATACAGATATGTATGTACAAGAAGTCAACTGTATACTAAAAACTAGTAAATGAGGCGATGTCAACATCATCTCAACACAAAATTGAAATGATTTTTCAGAATGAAGAATTTCTTTTGTCATAAACCGTTCAAATATTCCAGACTACACAGAACAAGAAAAAAGTTTTCGTGAGGAATTTTTGTGTCCACAAGAACACAAGACGTCTAATCCTAAAAAATAGTGCCTGTCTTTTAAACGTGACGTCACGTATACAAGGTACTACAAGCACCTCCTATGCTCGAAAATATGTTTCCCCACGTTTTCATCAATCCCATACAAAAAATAGAATCTCTCTTACAACATCAAAGGTCCTCACATGTTTCTCTCGCCTCTTTGGCATCTTCTTTTCTCTACCTGAATACAATCTGTACAACAATAAAATACTGTACAACAACGATATCCATTCCTTTTACCCGGACCTCTGTACGTTGGTGTGATTATCCCATCTCTATTGTATACAAAGAAAAAACACTTAAGAAGTGATAGAAGTGACAAAGCTCTATTTACAGATACAAATGTATCATCCTTTATTCCCACTTGCCAAGGCCCTAAACAGTACAAGCTGTATTAGCCAATCAACAGGCTTCCCTCACTCAAAATCTTGCCTTATTTGGCATGACTTGCTTTGTAGCCAATCAATACCATCCTTACAAATTACCCACCCTGCTCAGTGTTAAGTGCCGAGATCTGATTGGCCGAGAGACACAAGAAATTGGACTCACCCAAACTTTAGACTGTACAACTCCAGTCTTTGTCAAGGAATGAACAATCCACCGCTTCCATGACGTCACACAGATAACACACGTGACTCCGTGAGCAGTAGACTGTTCATTCCTTGACAGACTGGAGTTGTACAGTCGAAAATTTGGGTGAGTCCAATTTCTTGTGTTGGAAATTACAGTTTAAACTTGCTGCATAATGACTTCTACCAACACAGATGAACTTTCAAGATAAAAGCTAGTACAGTTCCTAGCCCTGGCAAGTGAGCATGTCCTTGTGAGCCTGGTGTTTCCCTGCTCAGTCCACGTTGCTCATGTCGCCTTCTGACTGGTCTATGGCCTCAGGAGCCTGCAGGAAACAAGACAAGGCAGAACAGTCAGTGAAAGAAACTACTTTGTTCCTTCAGACAACCAAAAATTTACCGGTATTCATGGAAAATATGACAAAGACTGCAATATGTCTACAAATAATCAAACAAGTATCAAGAGGCAACTGTTACAGTAGAGCCCACTTCTTTAGTAATAGAGTGGTCACATGGTGGAAAAATCTGCTAGAGACTGCCGTAATGAAACAAATACATTTTGTACTTTGCAATCGCAGAAAATGAGTACATGTACTACTAAACTATGTTCCTTTAGTTATTTTGGACAACTAGTTGCTATGTCTTTGTTCTCCTTATGTTAAAAGCAGTATAGTACACATTCTGGGTTGTCCAGAAAAAAAAAACTATATTGCCACCTCAGCATTCAGTATAGCCATAAATGGGCAACAAAGTCAATTGTTTACAGGGCCTGGCAGCAGGAAGAAGGTGAAACATATTTCAGTTCAACTGAATCTGACTTTGTCATAACTGATCACTCTAATATTCCAAAGAAGTGAGCACATCCTGCAAAAAGGTCAAATCAAATTAAAAACAAACACAATCCTTTGACAATCAAATAAAAACCAAACACCTCCTTTGACAATACAAAAAAACCTCTTCAATCAGTATAATGACTGATAGCTTCATGTAGCCAGGATTTATATAATGGTCAATGAACCACACAGACATATGGTTGACAAGAGATATTTCTAAACCTAATAACAACACCATTCACACAGTTAACATCCATCATCGCAAAACTGGAAACGCAAGCAAGGAATTAGGACACAGCAAGACAGATTGTCCTAAAGGAAATATTTGTGCAGTTTTGTTTGCACAATCCTCTCAGTTCTTCCTGGAAAGCTGCCAGAGTGAGACCCAGGATGTTAGTACAAAAACTGGGACTTGTCCCCACTCCAGGACTGAACTCCGGAATGTTCCAGAAATTTCTTCTTGGTCAAAGGTATCCAATGCAATTTCATGGCAGTAAACCTCAATTTTCTGGTTATTATTTTGATGTAGTAGGGCTCGAAATCCATTTTTGGGAATAGGTGCACTGGTGCACCCATCCTAAAAAAAAACAAAAAAATTCGGGTTCACCATATAAAATAAAATAAGTAGAATGTCAGCAAAACTAATTATGTTTCATATCTAAAGAAAAGTACAACAACAATTATTTTATTATTTTTCTGACACTTACATGTAGATGTTAACAATATGTATTTTTGTATACTGCTATACATTTAACATCTTTACATAGGTAAACCTATGAAAATATTTGGGTGCACTGGTGCACCCACAGAAAAAAATTGGTCCAATTTTGGGTGCACTGCACATGCATCTAGTATTTCGAACCCTGTGTAGTAAGATGAATTAATCCCATAGCATACTGATATTTGTGAGGCAAAAATAGGATGTCTCTTACGGAAAATACATGTAGGTTGTTTGTTTTATACTCTGGCTCTAGCCATTTATGGGCAGAACAAAAAAAAAGTCGTAGCTTCTTTTAGCTGTTAAGCTAAGAAATGACAGTATGTAAATGTCAATATTGACAATAATAGACAGATTTTCTCATTCAGAATATTATTTCTTCTGCCGCCCTGAATTGCATTAGACACCCTTGGATGTTCCAAACACAAGGTGGAAAAATTTGGACATGTCTGGTCATATGAGTCCAGGTAATACCTACAGTACAGATTTTGAAAAACTTCCCACGCATTTACACATCGGTTTTAACTTGTTTATTTTTTGAGCAAAGATTGTGTAAATTGCATTTAAATCAACAGCTATGTAAAAGCCGTGTATCACAGTTTAAATCTGTGCAAAAGCTATGTAAATTGCGCATGCTAATATTACACGTGAGTGTAACAACATGTGGTGGCTATTTATATACACATAACTACACACGATTACACACTCATCTTCACATGTTTTACACGCGAAATGAACATGGGTTGAAAGAGAAGTGGATGGCTTTTGCAAACATTCTAATCAACAAAGGCATGACTTTGGATCACGATTTGCGCATGTGTAGATGGGAAGTTATTCGAAAGCCGTACTGTACAATCATGCATTTCTTGAAGATGTGGTCTTGTCTGTCTTTTGCCCATGTAAGCTGTAACAATCAGTGTATGGAAAGGCAGTCAAAAAGCATTGAGAAAAGTTGGAATTTCAGCAAAATATGCCCACAATTTGGGTAAAAGGCACTGCTTTGAACTGGATGTGTAAAAGAAAATCAGTTGTCCCCATTTCAAAATCAGAAAGGGGAGGTATACGTAAGGAATTTTTTAAAAATTCCCTAAATATATTTGTCATTTTAGTCCTATCTCCCTATGTATTAAATCTTGGACCCTACACAATGTATTTTAGCTTTAGGTTAGCTATATCCCCTCTTTGATTGCAAAAAAAAAAGCTTTTGTATGAAGGTATATAAAAAAATATTTTGTGCAGGGTTAAACAAATCTTTTGTACAAGGTTGAACAAAAAAATGTCAAAATCCCAGCTTTTACCAAGACCGTTTCACTGTCTTTTTCTTGGCGTTAAAACACAAACCTGAAAGCGGATATCCCATCTGCGCCGTTTTAAGAAAGGCATCTGCAATGACAGGACACTGGAATCAATCACACCCCCACAAAACACGAGGCATATTGCACATGCAGTACTACTACTAGTACTAGCATGCGTTCAGTTTCCAACAGTATCTAAATATAGATACGGTGAGCGTGCACATAGACATACGTTTTCATGACAAAGGCTACTGTAAACAGGGCTCCAAAGTAAGGACAGAATACCAGAAAATGTTCTCGCAAACTTGTTAAGGACTACGTATTTATCCTGATTCATACTTATTTATCATTTATCGGTACTGAAAATTCAGAGAAAGACGCCTAGTTTGGAGCCCTTGAAAACGAAAGAAACCTTGTCACCCTCGAGTAAACAAGCCCTACAAGACCCAGAAGTTGTGGAACAGTGTTCTTACGTGAGCTGGCTGTCCGTGTTCTCTTTCTCTTCTCTCGCCGTGCGGCCTCTCCATGCCCTGCACCAGGGCGTGTTTCTTGTGGCCCGTCGGGTTTCCATTCCCTCCGTCAGGGTAGGGGATGGTGGCCAGGAGACCTGGGGGGAAAAAACACTGAATGAGACAAAGGGCTCGAAATTAACAGTGTCCAGGCAGGGACAACTAAAAAGTCACTTTGGGACATTTTGAGCACAATAGCTACTTTTGTCGATCATGCAAGCATCCCAGCTTTTGGCTCGGAAAAGCCCCCCAAATTCTTGTCTTCTCTGCAATTATAGTGCGTCAGAACGTAAGCAAAATAAAGTTGACTTCAAGTTGCTGTACATACATACTTCCCGAAAAACATGCTGGGACAATTCGGGACGATTGAAATTTATTTTTGGGACAATGCTGGGACAACACTAAAAAAGTTAACTTCGAGGCCTGAGACAAAAGACTTCTGACCATACACCCAGACATTAGAGTGTGCAGCCTTAAGCTTACAGTGTAGACCTGCTGGACAGACTCGCGTGCAAGTCTGGTGTCAGGGAGTACAGTAATCAAAGAATGGACACTACATGTACATAGAACAGTAGAAAAGAAGCAGTCTACACCATGGGCCATTCAACCATCCCTCAACAGAGACTGGGGACCATAAACTTTCTGCAACCTATGATAAACCATTGGAATATGGGTGAAAGCCCATGTTTCTACATGTACATTGTACCGGTAGTTCTATACAGACTGAGCTGGATTATTTTTCTCCTTATTCCCAAGGTTGATGATCACTTTATCTATGGTGAAATTACAGGTTTTCAAATAGGTTCAAGATCCATTTTGTAAAATTCTTCAAGAAGACTTCTAGCTGCTAACAGACCTGCTTGTACGTAACCTCTTCTTGAACTTTGAAAGTGGGGGACAGTGCTGACATCAGCCACTATCTCAAAAGCGTCAAAGCATACCGGAAAGAGCTTTTTATAAGTATTCTCCTCATAGTTCTAACATTGTCCGGGTCTTATCTTACTCATTGGAGGTCAAGAAACTCTTTGACCTGTTCAGATGTCACAAAATGGCAGAAAATTTACCATTCATCATTCAGCAACTATCTCAAAAATGTCAAAGCATACAGGAAACAGCTTTTTATCAGGAGTCTATTCCCTGCATTGCTGTAGCACTGTCTGGGTTTTATCACTCACAGGAGGTCACCAAGCTATTTTTGAACAGTACGTACGTCACAGAATGGAAGACCATCCACCATTCAAGGTTGGACGAACAATCACTGCCTCTTAGAAATGTCACAAAAATAGGAAATCCCTCACAACACAGATAACCTAGTACGCTATGGAGCGCAACAAACTATTTTTGACCCGTTCAGACGTCACAAAACAGGAAAATCAACCTTTCAAGGTTGAGTGAAATATTTTCTACCTCTCGGGCAAGGAACAAAAATAGGAAATCCCACAAATGACAGATAACTTGTATTTTATCATCTGCAAGGGTTCCCCCACATCTTGTTGTTTACTGGTGATCCAGGGCCTCAAACTGTTGGCTTTCCACCATTACCGAGCCAGATTGCATAAGTTTCTATGTAAATATGTTGACAAGTTTTACAGTTATATAATGGTATAGGAAACACTGCTAAGAGATGGTAGAAAAAAGTTCCAGACCTACTTGAGAGTAAATTGAGTTTAATTCTTCAAGAACAAATTATGATAATGTCATGGGGGACTTTTAACTCCTGCAGAGTAGGCTAATAAGATTTTGCAGTTGATCAGAGATATTTTTCCACCCCCAGACGTCTAACCCTCAGAAGACAGGGAGCAACAGATGCTAAACCAGATAGTGAGTGATCGAGTAGTGAGACACTTCCAGCTTACGAGCACTGGCGTAGGCTTCTAAAAACTGACTAAGGCTTCAGCCTAGCGCATAACTGACCTAGTTCTAAGCTACTAGAGTTGTCCAAGTCGCAGATTTTGCGGGGAGTGTCCTACGGTAGGTAAGAAGCGGCCTTACATTGCGTACCTGCGCCCCTGTACCGTGATAGCTGCTGGTACACCTGCTTCATGCGCTCCACGTTGATTCTGCTCGTCTCTGCGTGGTTGACCATCGGCAGCGGGTAGTCCTTCCCTGGAGGGCCAACCAGAAAACATCATTTTAAACACTCAGAGGTTAAGGATCTGGTTTTCCCCGTTGTAACAAGAAATAGGATACAGGAGTTTTCTTTTACACAACCAAAGCACTTAGGTGAGATATTTTGGTTGTGTATCCTATACTTTACCAACCTCATCATCACCAACCTGATCAGATGAAACTATTTTTGGAAGTAAGGAATAGGAGATTTCAAACTTCTGGGATGTATTGCCTCGTGCAATCCTTGACTCCCTGAATTCCCCCATGTCAGCCTCCAATTGCTGCTAACTTCCGGCCAGAGAAATTTGATGTGTCTACCCTTTTGATGTCATTCTGCCTATCATTCTACATGCTATCAACCTGCACTGTCCAGGCAAGCATACACATTAACCCCAGCTCAGCCACCCAAAACAATACTTTATTACAGGGAAGAAAAAAGGCAATATACAACAGTTGCCTATTTGTTGATATGAAAGAACAGAAGGGTGATGTACCGATGATGCACTTAGCTGCCTTCTGCACCGACTCTGGAGCGTTCCACGGGTCGTAGATGTACTTGGCAGGGAACCCTCTCAGCTTGGGGAGGTATTTCCTGTACACAACACACAAACATCATTGTCCTGTTATACATCAATGAAGGTAAGATATCCATCTATAACGTTACCCAATACAAAAGAAATCAAGTAACTGGATAAGTTTTTTTTTTAGAGTTCAATGTCATGGTCTCTGTCAGACTGACTCATGACTTTTCTATCCAATTTTTAATATAATTTTTCCCCTTAACTGGGGGTTAGATGTACTTACATCAAGTGCAAGTCTTTTTCGAAGCAAGGTTTTTTTAAAGGCTGGATGCCCTTCCTAACGCCAACCAAAACCCTAGTAGGTCCCAGGATCCCTCTAATTTAGGAGGGGGAAATACGTGATAAGTGCCTTTCCCAAGGACACAACGTCTGGGTGCATGTCCGGACATGTCTGGGTCCAATCCTGGGGATTGAACCTGGGTCCCCTTGCTTGACAGTAAAAAGGATTTTGAGCCCTGAATACTGACCTGATAAAGTCCCCGTTGGGGTCGGTCCGCCTGTACAATTCCTAGAATTCTTGCAAATTGCACCCAATACTGTACCATTAGGCTCCTCCCTGAGACGTCGCCAAAAAGGATTTCCAGCCCTGAATACTGACCTGATGAAGTCCCCGTTGGGGTCGGTCCGCCTGCCGAAGTTGACGGGACAGTACACGTGGAAGAACTGCTGGAAGAAGGAGCTGCAGGACAGCCACATCCAGCTCCCGGCGTTCACGCTCCAGTCAGCGTCCAGCAAGAGTTCCTCAAACACCTCGGCAGCAGAACGGACAGCACGGGCATTACAACAGTATCACAGGGGGAGAAGACGTGACAGTATTATTCATTCTAATTGCGGAAACAGTCTGGAAGTTACCTGTTTCGTCTCCCTCTCCAATGTATCCAATGGTAAAGTCAAATAACGCCACAGCAAGTAATTTTTATGCATGACATCGGTGCGCGCATTAATTTTCGCCTGATTTTGGAAAAAAACACAAGAAATTTTGTTGCCTTCTGACGGTGGTCAACATGCCGAAAATGGGCAAAGATGTCTGCTGCCATGCCGGAAGGTGGATGGCAGATAACTATGACGAGAGGAGACAAGAAAAGGCTCTGATCTAATGTTTTATTTCTTACTTTGATGCAATGATATGTGATGATGGCTGTGTATATGTGATGTTCCCACCAAATAAAAGCCATTCGTACAATGATTTTATAATGTAGGAACCTTGTTTTTTTGGCCCGCCTTGTTTTTTTTCGCCCGCTCGCATTAGATTTGGAGTCTGCAGAGGATGTCATCCATAAAATTTACTTGCTGTGGCCTAAACTTACAGTTATGGAAGCCATATAGAACTAAGAACATGCGACAATAAAACCATCAAATTTTTACATTTGCCATAGCTTTTATTGACTGCCAAGTAAAACTTAAATGGCATCCAATACAGTTTTAGGGTGGCAAAAAGAAAATATGAAATCTGTCTGATATTGACATTTATTCCCATTTCTTAGCACGTGTACGATTTCGTCATCATTTCATACATATATATATTATATATATATATATATATATATATATACATGTACTTGAAGTGTTGAAATTGCCCCCAAACAAGCTAGTTGAAGTGCCTTTTTATTTTTGGTTGCCACCCATGAATAACTTGACCAGCCTACGATACAAAACAAGCAGCCGTTTTCCTACGGCAAGATCACATTTTTCCTTCACTGATATCAGTATGCTGTGGGACAACATTGACTAAGTGTACTAAATTAAAAAGGACCAGAAAACTGAATTTTAAAATCCAGTTTACCACCTTGAAATTGCATTGGGGGCCTTTAAACTTGGGTTTAACCATACAAAACAACGTAAAGAAGTAAATAGAGCAAAGGTCACCTTCATCCCTTCTTCCCAGGAGATCCACAGGTCCCCTCTGGTCAGGAAGCAGGCCACAGCGTGCCGTGCCAAGTGGTGGATCCACCCCTCCTGCTGTAGCTGCGACATGATCGCATCTATCCAGGGGAAGCCCGTCTGGCCCTGGAAAGGCGGGGGGTACAGTCTTTAGATGGAACTGCATTCAATATTAGGTCCTACATGCTTTGGCTTTTAATTAGGTACATTATCTCTATCATATACGTCTTCATTATTCAAACAACACTCATAAAACCTCAAGCTGAACTGGCTGAATATCATCTTATCTGTTCCAAAAATACTAGAAAAATCATGACTTGAGAACTGAGCATTTTCAGAACAAAAGATATATAAGCTCAGCTGTGGAATGGCAAGGTTCTTTCTAAAACTAATTTTTACATGCGTAGGAGTTATGATTTAAGGGAACTGCCAAGGTCTTTGGGGCCTAATTAGCTCCAGTACTCTGAGGCATGTTGACACAATAACACATCGCAAAACATTGTCTGCATAGTCACAAACTCTCCCAGCATGAGCTACATTTTTGTACAAAACAAGCAAGGTTCTTTCAAAGCCAGTTCGTGTATATGCAGGAGTGTAACAATGTGGGGGTACATGTATATATGTATGTTGATGAGCTAATTAGGCTATGGAAAGTAATTTTTATGGATGACATCAACGCGCACATTAATTTTTGACTGATTTTGGAAGAAAAAAAATTTTGCTACCCTCTGACAGTGGTGAACATGCCCAAAATGGGCAAAGATGTCTGTTACCATGCCAGAATGTGGATGGCAAATAAATATTAAGAGAGGAGATCTAGACAAGGCTCTGATTTATTGTTCTTTTACATGTACAGTGTACATTGATGCAGTGATGTATTTCACTCCTTTTATATGTGATGTTCCCACTGAATCAAAAACATCTGTACAACGATTGAAAACTTTTATTTCTAAGTAACAAATGGATGTAGTAACAGATGGCAGTAAACTTAACATTTCTTGTTTAGGCCACACCAATTTAATTTCTTGGTTAACGGATTCGCCTCTTCGTTTTTTTTTTATTTGCAAATAAAAATAAAAATTCAGAATCAACTGCAAAATGCTCATATTTTGCCCTGAACAGTTGAAAACAGTCCTTTTCTTACTACCTTGTTACAGTCATTCCATCTATCAATGCAGTGCTACCATTAAAAGTTCAAAATTCATTGTTTAAATTTTGAACCTGCCTGGTGTGCTGACTTCATGGCTCCTATCGTACCATTTTGGGCCATAATAGGATGCCTAGGCCTGTTTTTATTTTTATTTTTTTTTCGCCCGCCCGCTCCATTATTTTTCTAGAAAAATCCGTTAACCAAGAAATTAAATTGGTGTGGCCTTAACAAGGTTTATGATGTCAAAATTTGAAATTGTAGGAATCTTGTTTTTCTTGGCTTGCCTTGTTTTTTCACCCTATTGCATTAGATTTGGAGTCTGCGGAGGATGTCATCCATAAAATTTACTTGCTGTGGCCTTATGGAATATTAAACTTTTGGGTGGATTGTTAAACAAGACAAAGGTTCCATCTGTTGCATTATCAGAAAGTCTCCCAGCATATCAAGAGCGACAAAACAAGGAAAGCTCTTTCTATACCCACTACTTGGAGGAGAGGGACCAGTGTAAGCGCATGCGGGGTAAGGCCACTTTGAGTACCCACGATTTATTTTTGGACTTATTTTTGAAATAATTTTTTTTCCTGGGCAAATTTTGCTCAGAAAGGCCCAGTTTTGTGGTAAGTGGGACAGAAGAATGTATATTTTTCAAATCTGCCCAAAACGTTTGACCTTTGGCAAGACTTGACCTTCTATCGACCCCGAGATAGATCCTGGGACTGTTCCACTTGGACAGGGGGTGAAATCCAGGTATCATTTCAGTATTTGGGCTGTAACTCAAAATTAGGCAGGAGTCGAACTTTCACTATTTGTACCAAAAGAAACCTGACAAATTCAGCTTTGCAGTGGGGGTAAAGACTTGAGGTTTGGAATAAAAGTAAATGTGTTTTTAAGTGCTTGTTTCTAGTGGTTTCACCATAGAATTCCAATGGAAGCTTCATTCACTGGTCCCTCCCTTGGATGTGCAGGTGGGTAGGAACGTGTCCCAGATATCAGTTGATGGGGCCATTAGGGAATACACTCTATGAACGCCCACGCATGAACAGTCTTTATGGGAAACTTACTTGTAAGTACCTCTAGGAACAGACATAAGTTTTCTCATTATAAATTTTTTTTAATGTGAAGAAAGGATTATGACAATGAAAGACAATCATCTCTGTTGCAATTTCATTCATAAAAAAATGTGTATAACTTCCATATAGACTATTCATATTATTAGAGACATGACTAAAGTCTTGAAATGTTTGCAGTACTATAGCAACTGAAAATGGGACAAATGGAAAATTCACTCCGAATAGGAACGTTCCTTGCTTTAAAGTACCTTCCTTTCTGAACAAAAAATACTGTTTTTTCATTAGTTTATGTGAACATGGATTATTACAATGAATAATATTCACTTATATTCTAACTTTGTGTCTAATATAACTTCCATGTAGATTGACGTTGGAGTGCTTTTTGAAAAACCTCACTCTTCATATTAGAAGAGTCACGACTTTTATTAAAAATGTGACACAAATGAAAAATTCACTTATGCTATTTAAATAGAGTCACTTGAACGTCCGTTAACATTCATCCACTAAGATATTTTTATCCGCCACATCTGCCACTTTTAAAATGAGATCTCGAGTGCAACACCCCCAGGTATGCACGGTTTACATTACGTTTAGAGCACATTTTGGGATTATAAGGAATTACAAGGAAGATGATGAAAGCAAAGCAGTGTTCTACCCAGTTTCCTTCCTTCTGTCATTCAACGGAATTTCGCCTCTTGTGACATACAAAAATTTTGCCCAATCCGTTATCTTTGATGGACAAAAATTAGCTTGTAAAGATATGCGAAACCAAAAAGTCTACCAGCAAAATTTGCCCCTCTAAATGCAGGAAATAGCCAAAATGTTTAAATTTTCCCAATGAAGCATACCCCTAGAACTAGACCATATGATGTCACATCAAACTAGGAAGGCAACATTTGCAAAGAAAATGCATAATGTTTACCTTCGCATATGGTCTGCTCTGTTAATTCTTACTCAAACATGTTCATATATATGGTGACAGGAGTCTAAATCCCTCCTGCTATAAAATTGCAACATGATTTAACCCAACACCAGTCACCATGGTGCAGGTATTTGACCTTTTGCGTTTGGAGAAGAGGAAACTGAGCAAAAACAATATGTTTTCCTTCGGTATACATAATAAAATTGAAATTGACAGAAAAAAAATTTAGGCTGGGTAGAATATTGAAACACAGCAGTACCTCTGCCCACTTGGCCAGTGCCTCTGGGTTTTTATCCCATGGGATCTGCACACAGATTGTGTTGTTCACCATCTTGTCGAAGTTTGGGTTGTTCGTAGCCGCTGTGTAGAAGAACTCTCTCCACAGTAACTGGCCGTACAATGACAAGGGAGGGTGGTTGCTTCTCTTTACCTGGAAAGGGAACACAAACCTATAAGTCTGCATTCGTAAATGATTGCATCAAGTTCTTTCTTCCCAACCACTTCTTTAACAAAAGCTGATGTTTCAATGACTGTCTGCCATCTTCATCAGGGCAATTATGACAGGTTCACTGTGCACTGAAGCCAGGTGCAGAGTGAACTAGTAACACCTGAATTCATAGTGAACCAGTAAAATCTAGCTTCAGTTACATTGAACCGGTGATAATTGCCCTGATTAAGATGACAGCCAGTCATCAAAATGTCAGGTTTTGCGGTGGTAATTGTCCTGATAAAGATGACAAACAGTCATCAAAATGTTGGCTCTTGCTTAGAAAAAGTTACATGCCTCTTACAGGGCTCGAAATGCTGGGTGCACATACACATTTGTACACCCAAAATTGCAGCCGTGCATCTAATTTTTTCAAAATTGCAGCTGTGCATTTAATTTTTTTGTGAGGAATGTTAGGTTCACATATTCACAAAAATAAATTTTGAGCCCTGCTCTTAGCAAGGTAATAAAACCATCCTTATACTAAGCAAACTGAAAGGTAATTCATATGAACAAACCTTCTTGTACAGCTCTGTTAGCTTCTTGTAGAATAATCTGGGAGACAGGCAGCCGAATCTGAGATATGGACTCAGTCCTGTGGGGCTGGCTAACAGTGAGGAGGCTGTCATCTTCGGTCTCTCAAAACTTGCAACCCATGCCTGGATAGAGACAAGAAAAAAACATCAAAAACTCTCCCAAATTCAATGTCAGCTTATCTTAGTGAGTATCTCCATGCCCTTTTCTGTTAAATGTTACAATGTGTTAGCTGGTGTGTTACGCCGAAGGGTGGTTATACCAGCTATACCGATACAGATACATGTACAGACACAGATTATGCACTGAGTTAATCATAGCCAGCCCGCTCTTACTCAGTATAAAGTGATGTAAGTGTATTAATCGTTCTACGTAGCATGTTATTTGTCATGCTGAATTCATAAATTCAGCATGAGGCATTATTGAGTAATTCCTAGCTATGCTAGACCTGCATAGTCAAAGGTCGGACAGTCTTCAGAGCATTCGCTTGTCGTGGTTTCCGCACTCATGCCAAATCTAAGCACCCCATGAATGCAATGAAACAGTCCACCTTCCATTTCCTTCATTGACTTAAAAGCTTCCCCTCATTCAATATCGAACAGTTCAAATTTCCATATCTTTCCATATCAGTAACCTTAAACCCCTGTTCAGTTACAGTGCTCCCTATTTCACTCAGAGGTGCCCCAAAACTCATTTTGCCTACATAAACCTGTTAATTTGTGTAAAATACTCCCTGCTCTTTGCCAAGATAGCTTACCTGAAATGTTAGGATTACAGTATTACACTATGACACACAGTGATGCTGCTCTGAGTCATGCTACAAGCTTTTAAAGCAATTTCTGGCTGACTTCATGTACGTCAGCAAATCAGCAAATTCACAAAGGAAATACTCTCCATAATTCATGAGAGATTGAACTTGAGGCACATTGGTGCCCTGAAAATTCCTTCTACCGGTAGTCATACGAGTCACATGATTGGAAACTAAAGCCTGGAACATCATTCTGAATCGTTTTCTTTGCAAAAAAAATCAAACTTTCAAAGGCACCTTACAGTAGGCTGGCACTTATGTAACAGAATAATTACAAGAAACGTACAAACTAGACATACCATAAATATTGTCATGATCTGGTTATCAACAATTTAAGAAGTTGTCCTGGCTTTATGTTACCGGTATAAAAACACAAAACATTCTAGCACACTGTGTAGCCATGTCTTTTTGTGGACACAACTTACAGTCTTGTTAATTATTTTTTATCTTCTATTGTTGGTTTGATTTGGACTGGGATACACACAAAGGAAACCTCCTTTCTTTTAGATGTACCTTACTGTAATAAAGCTGAAATATATCAATAAATATCTAAGTATGTTGCTGGGATACAATACATGTTGCCAAAGCAAGAATTACAATGTAAATCCTATATCAGTACTGTACCTTTCTCTCCAGATGCCGTTCCAGTCTGGTCAGTGCTTCTGTCTCCCCACCCGGCCACACAACAGGGTTCAAGTTATCTGTGTCAAAACCTGTCCAAAAACAAACATTGTTTATGCTTATGAATTATCATTAATAATTGTTCCTAAGGCCACACCAATTTGATTTCTTGGTTAACGGATTTTTCTAGAAAAATAATGGAGCGGGCGGGCGAAAAAAAAAAGAAAATAAAAACAGGCCTAGGCATTATATTATGGCCCAAAATGGTACAATAGAAGCCATGAAGTCAACACACCAAGCTGGTTCAAAATTTAAACAATGAATTTTGAACTTTAAATGATACCACTGCATTGAAAGATGGAATAACTGTAATAACTAGGAAGAAAAGGACTGTTTTCAACTGTTAAGGGAAAAATATGAGCATTTTGCAGTTGATTCTGAATTTTTATTTTTATTTGCAAATGAGAAAAAAATGAAGCGGGCGAATCCGTTAACCAAGAAATTAAATTGGTGTGGCCTAATGGTTTCTAATGCTTCTGGGTTTTTTTTCATGTTTTCTACAACTTCGCTAGAATTGCTACTAAGGTTTTTTAGATGTTAGACAATGGCTTACAGGTACTACCAGTGTAGCCTCATTAACATAATATATGCAATATTACCAAAACTCCAAAAATATGGATGAAACAGTTAACAGATTTGCGCAGTTTGAAGTAATTGCTTGTTTAAAAAGTCAGGCCAACTAAAACTAATAGAATTACCATCTTTTACCCATTGCAGGTGAGTTTTGCCATATTGGTATGCAAGACTAAACCACAAAAGGTAGCCACACCATTATATAGGTATAAAAATCTTGTTCTTGTTTCATCATAAGGGTTATATCAAAAGGGTTATATATAATTATGTATAATTTTTGTATGCCCATGTTTCGCATAATATGGGCAAAAATTCAGCAAAAGAAGAATTTATCTGATAACACCCTGGACATGTAATTTGTCTACTTTTTTTTTGACACAAAATGTGTAGATAACAGGGAGGGGGTTACCATATACAGTATACGTGGAACTAATGAGAAATGCCAGTGCAGCCTCATTAACATAATTTATGCATGATTACCAAAACTACAAAAATATGGATGAAACAGTTAACAGATTTGCGTAGTTTGAAGTAATTGCTTGTTTAAAAAGTCAGGCCAACTAAAACTAATAGAATTACCATCTTTTACCCATTGCAAGTGAGTTTTGCCATATTGGTATGCAAGACTAAACCACAAAAGGTAGCCACACCATTATATAGGTATAAAAATCTTGTTCTTGTTTATTATCACAAGGGTTATATATAATTATGTATAGTTTCTAATTTTTGTATGCCCATGTTTCGCATAATATGGGCAAAAATCGAGCAAAAGAAGAATTTATCTGATAACACCCTGGACATGTAATTTGTCTCCTTTTTTTTTACACAAAATGTGTAGATAACAGGGACGGGGGTAACCATATACAGTATACAAGTAAGTTCTGACAAATGCCAGTGCAGCCTCATTAACATAATTTATGCAGGATTATCAAAACTACAAAAATATGGATAAAACAGTCAACAGATTTGCGTAGTTTGAATTAATTGCTTGTTAAAACATCAGGCCAACTAAAATTAATAGAATTACCATCTTTTACCCATTGCAAGTGAGTTTTGCCATATTGGTATGCAAGACTAAACCACAAAAGGTAGCCACACTGTTATATACGTATACAAATCTTGTTCATGTTTCATCATGAGGGTTATGTATAAGTTATGTATAGTTTACAATTTTTGTATGCCCATGTTTCATAAAAGCATGGGCAAAAATAAAGCAAAAGAAGAATTCATCTTTACCTACTTTTCTTGACACAGAATGTGTAGATAACAAGGAGGTGGGATCCAAGTATAGTACACAAGTAACTTCTAACAAATGCCAAACAAAAATAAAGTTTGATTTTTTTTGCTGATATACTATAACAAAAAATAACACCATGAGGTCTGAATTTGCATGTATTTCTACAACATAAAACATAAATCCAGTTCGTAAGTTTAACTTAGAAAAGCGTTAATAATGTTTCCCCACCTAACTCCTCAAGAGACGGCACTCCGTATTTTTCGTCGTGGTCATCTTGGATAGGAGTGGTCAGTTTGTCCACTGTGCTTGCTGTGATGGTGTCTACAGGCTGGTCTGGAGGGTCCATCTTAGATAGGATGGCCTGGAACCGCTTGTAGGTCAGCGGTGGCTGCCCACCGTTCACATCAATGATGCTGGGCGAGAGAAAGAACAATAAATTCATCTGTGTTGGTAGTTACGTTTTAAGTTAAAACCTTTGTTCAATAGACTGACCCAGTGAGATTTGTCACAGTCTATTGAGGAAGATCAGAGTGACTGGTCGAAAAGCTCTTTGTTTTCTGTTTACCATTTTCCACTTTTAGGGAATTTTTGCTCCATGAGGGTAAAATATACATTGGGATAGTGTGGTTTTGACTCAGTACTGTATGTAGATAAATGACTATAATATTGGCTTTGAAAAATCGGGTTTCCAAGCCCTAAAAACTGCACTGGATACCTTTAAACAACAAATTCAATTCACTTTGTTACAAAGACAGTTCTCCAAAATACATCGATGACGGTTAGACATCCAGGTAATAAAATACACAGGGAAACTGTTACTTAAGAAACTAGATAGATTTTAGAAGGTGGTTCTCCAAGCATTTTTGAATTAATTGCTGAAAGCATACAGGGTCTATGGCAACTTACTACACATGGAGAAACTTTTGCTGTCCTGCTACTCCTCCGTAGGAAAAAAACTGGTGACAAAAACAAGCTACAGCATGCCAGTACTCTGACAAGCTGGGATACAATGCTAACCAAGTAATTGGTTTCTTCAAGGAAGAGACAGCCGACACTTAAGTCTGGTATCAAATATGAAGCCTACAAAAGAAATTTTCAGCACGTGCGGCACGTGTAAGTGACAATGCTAATAACCTGTTGATTTGGGAAAATACCTACTTCTGGCGAGTAAAAACAATTCTTGTAGAAAATTTAAAAAAAAAAAGTACTTCTAAGAAATAAAAAAAAAATTCCTTAGTAATTAAAAGCAAATTTGGCCACTAGCAAAATCTGAGAGTAGCATCTCTTGTGTTGCTGAGCTTTAACAGCACATAGCCGTAAAAATAGTAAATGAAATTTCAAAAACATTCACGTCCGCACACTGTGCTATTCCATCTGCCCGCTGTCTCCAACAGAGAACAAAAACCATTCCAATTTTAGCTGCAGCATTGTCCTTTGCTTTAGAATATTTCGCATAAAACCTGGTTTGCATCTGGCTGCTATTTCTTGTTTTTTATTGAGATATAGCGTAGGGTAATGCTTACTCTTGTAATTTGTACAAGGTGTGCGACGTCCGCAAAATGACCTTTACTCCAGCCTCCTTGGCGAGTTTCATGACGGCCATGTCTCGTTCACGACCAAACGGCTCCGAGTCCTCTTCAAACGAAAGACAGGAGACCTTCCACTCCTAAGGAGGAAATGGAAGACATTGTGAGAATCTGATTTCTATACTACGTCACAGCAGTGATCAATCAAATTAAGGCCAGGGCTCGAAATTAACATTGTCCCAGTGTCAAATGACACTAAATTTTCAGCTCGGGACAATTCAAATTACGTTTTGGGACAATTTCAGGCAACTGGAAAATTCTGAGACCATCCACATGATTTGGGAACGCGATCCATCCACCCTGCTGTGGGCCGCCAGCAGCCCATAATACTCAAATATATGTTCAAACATTTAAATTTGACCAATCAGGGATTCCAATTGTCGGGGAGGGGGGCCTCGAAGATGGTGCAGTGCCCATGATACTATCATCTATTTCCCTACATTTACTAATAAAGTGGACTTCAAGTTGTACAATTCTGCATGTTGTTGTTGTTTTCTTATTGTTGCCATAAACTTATTTCCTGAAAAGAAGGCTGGGACAGTCCATCCTCAGTTTGGGACAATTGAAATCTATGTTCGGGACAATTCCGGGACAATAGTGAAAAAAGTTAATTTCGAGGCCTGAAGGCTTGTCGCAAAAAGGATTTGTGTACAAGTAGTGCATATATACATGTAGGTCAGCACAAATGGTATTATTTTGACAGACACGTAAAAAGGTAAAGTCCTTCCTGACCAGATGGTACATAGCACCCATCTCCAATTCTATAGCCCTTAATTCTGCAGATATTGCAGAACGCTGAAAAAAGTATCTTTATTACTGCAATGAATAAATCTTACCTTGAAGAGGCGTGGAAACACATCTGTGGGCTGCCCTCTGATGACGTACAGTCGTGAATTGAGCTTCCGCAGACTGGCATCAAGGTCTTCCAGGCACTGCAAGAGGAATCTGAACAAAAAAAGAAAAACATTCAAGCAAGTGTTTTTGAAAAAAAGCTGACATTTTGGCCAAGTAGGCTCCTAGAAAAAAACTTGACACAATCAAAAAACCCTTAAAATTAAGATAAAACAGGTACAGTTTACTTTGTTACATAAGAGTTTCTGTATGAATGTTCCATGTTACTGTAAATAAATTTTAAATGTTTCATACACTGTGACCACAAGCAGTACAGCATGTTTGTGAAACTTGCTATACTTACAAGCAATTTTACCCGTTACAAAGGTTGGCAGGTTTTTTGCTGGGTTATTGAAAAACAACCAAGCAAGCGACGAACCAACCAAGAATATGTCTGTGCTTAGTGCATTTCCGCTAGGGCCAAAATGAATGATTCATATCATAGGTCTTGACATGAGGTGCTAATTCAATCTGGAGTGCACCAAATGTGACGAAAACCATTACTGCTGACGCAAGCACTTCAAATGGCACTTTAACATGGCCAAAGGCATCACTTTGGTTCTATCTAGCAGATGTTCTGCAATGTTTGGGCTAAATGCTCTCTAATACATCATACATCCTGTTTCGTGCTAACATTTGAATCTGGTGACTTCTCACATGTTGCCCTTTAAAATGAGCTATGTGGTCACCCCAACATTAAGTATTATCATCATTATCTATTTCTCTGTGTAAATTATCTCTCTGATCCTCAGTATCACAACACATAACATTTTCAAACAAGCATTACAAGAATCAGCTCAGTGATTTTTTTTTACTTTTCCGTGTCCGCCACGGCACTTTATTCTCTCCACATGTATGTTACAAATAATATGTCAGCATATAAGCTTAATAAATTAATGAAGTACATGAGTCTCGTGAACATAAAACATATTTTTTGTGTGTGTGTGCTTATCTTATTTCTCTTTCAGAGACAGAGTAGAGAGTCTTATTCTTGTCATTCTGAATAGTAATCATGAGTGAATGTCCTAAACAAATGTAGCACATTGTGTTTTCTAAATAACTCAGGATGATCCTTGTATGCTATCCAAGATACATAAATTGAATATTTTGCTAAGGTGACATAAAAATTATCTCCAAATAGTACAGAAGCTATCATACAGACCCTATGCCTAGAACTGACAACCTAAAAATCTCCAGCAAGCAGTGCAAAAAGGGCTATTCTCTGAGGCACCAACAATGCCACAAGAAGGCTAGAGGCTGTAAAACAACCCCACAACCATCCCTAACAAGTATCAGGGATAAAGGAAACACAGTCAGCACCAAGGAAAGGGTAATGCAGTCAGCACCAGGGACAGAGAAACAGTACCAAGGGATAGGAAAATACAGTCAGCACCAGGGACAGGGAAGCATTGTCAGCACCAGGGACAGGGAAACACAGTCAGTACCAGGGACAGGGAAACACAGTCAGTACCACTACCAGGGACAGGGAAACACAGTCACCACCAGGGACAGGGAAACACAGTCAGCACCAGGGAAAGGGAACACAGTCAGCACCAAGGACAAGGAAACAGTCAGCACCAGGGACAGGGAACACAGTCAGTACCTGAGACAGGGAAACAGCCAGCACCAGGGACAGGGAAACACTGTCAGTACCAAGGCCAGGGCCAGTACCAAGGACAGAGAAAAACAGCCAGTGCTAAGGCCAAGGACAACATATTACGCATGCTATAAATACACACGTTATATAAGGTGCGTATTTATAGTGTATGCCTAAAGGTTTCATTTGTCTGCAAGTACCTATTTTTCTCTACTTTTCAAAACCTCTCCTAATTTGGAGCCAATTCCAAACCTCATCAACATTTAACCTGGAGAAAAACCTGTTAAAAACAAGCCTCATGACTTTCAGAACGTGGACCTGCCTCTTTGGGATATAAAGGGTTCTTAGAGTGTGCAGCTTGTTAAAAGGAAAAGATTGGTCATCACAGTAATGAAGGAGGTTGCTTTTAGAATATTTCAAGGAAGGTCTGTGGCGAGAAAAAGCTTGAGAACTCAAGGACGGAAGAAGCTACCCAAGAAAAGAAAGGATAAGCCAGCTGAGGGAGAATAGACTGTTGCAGGCTCAATGATGATTAACTCTTAGTCTTAGTCAAAGGGAGTGATTTTGGGACTGTGACGTAATGGTTGGGTGTTTGGCTCAGAACCCATAGGTCCTGGGTTCAAATCCCCAATGTTGTGCCCTTGGGTAAGGCATTTAATACAACATTCCTCACTTTACTAAGGTGAAAATGAGTACCTATGGCTTTGGTTAGAAACATCCCTCGGATGAATTGGAGGTAACATGTTTGGGGAGGACCACACTCTACTCATGTTAAAGAACCCATCACACCTTTCAAAATACGAGTACAACAATTGAAGAAAATATGAGTAGACACTAATAAATCAATTCCGCACCTTTCAATCTCTGCAGAACAATTAAGACTAAAATAAAGATTGTTTATTTGTTGTTTAGTCCTAGCAACAATATGAGACGAGCAGAACTAATTTGTAACCGACACAGACGAGTTCATTCCTGATCACAGCACTCGGTGACTCACGTAACCCACCCACCTACAATCTGTGTCGTGTAAAACTACTACATCAGAAAAACCAATCATTTCAGTAACTGCACATATTACTTTCTCCTATGAAACATGATCTAGGGCTTGAAACACTATTTCCTGCATGCGTGCACTGGTACAGGTAACATTGCAACAGTTAATAAAGCAAACAAAAATTAACATATACCTTCATGTGCATATCATAAAATCCAGTACATGGAATAGTACAGATTATGTGAAGGTAGACGTCACAAATACCTCCAATTTTACCAACACCAACCTGCATTTGCAGGTGGCATTTCATTTATTAAATTTGTAATTCGAGCCCTGTGATCTCTTTTTTTTTAAATAAATTTGTAATAGATCTATTATTGTAAATATTTACCTTTGACCCGAAATCAGGATTAAGTATTCCCTACCTTAGGTCAGTAAATTAAAAATATTTCTGAACGGAAAAATACAGTATTATACTGTATTCCAACCACCTGTTAATTTCTGTGGATAAAACAGCTGAGGCCTTGTATCTTGCTTTTGTACAAGTGGAAACAAAGTGAGCTTTTAGACGCCATCTTTCCGAATGAAGCACGTTAGTGGCTTGGAGATATACTTGAATTTGATCTCCACCATTGGGAATAACACTTCACGCTATTGGACAAGGGCTGTCCTTTCACCGTTACCATGGTGATTTGACCTCTTAAAGAACGTAAGCACCCACGAGAGCCCGTACATCAGTGAACATGTTACCTAGTGGGCGCCGTGGCACAGAAGTTTTGCACTGGTAGCTATCCAAAAAGTGCTGAGCCTGCATCAGACTATGATGACAGCTGCTTTAGGCCTAGGGAAAATAATGTTGTGTTTCCCATTACCTGAACTACACTACGGCCACACCAATTTAATTTCTTGGTTAACGGATTTTTCTAGAAAAATAATGGAGCGGGCGGGCGAAAAAAATAAAAAAATAAAAACAGGCCTTAAGGCATCCTATTATGGTCCAAAATGGTACGATAGGAGCCATGAAGTCAACACATCAGGCTGGTTCAAAATTTAAACAATGAATTTTGAACTTTTAATGATACCATTGCATTGAAAGATGGAATAACTGTAACAACTAGGATGAAAAGGACTGTCTTCAACTGTTCAGGGCAAAATATGAGCATTTTGCAGTTGATTCTGAATTTTTATTTTTATTTGCAAATCAGAAAAAAAATGAAGCGGGTGAATCCGTTAACCAAGAAATTAAATTGGTGTGGCCTTAACAAAAACCTGACAACTCCAGCCATTTTCCAGATAAAACGTGTCATAAGTATAAAACAAAATAAAGATGTGATAGAATTTTTTTCCCTCCTCAATTAGAAAGAAATTTCTAAATTATGATACATTGTACCAGCAGTACAGTACACATTTAAAACCTTTGATTTATGTGCAAGTATAAATTGTGCTTTTGAACATTAAATATTCCATGAATGTACAAGCTCAAGTTTACCTTATAAAGTTAGATATCCAATTCCGAAAAGCAGCTACAGCATACTATCCAAAGCAAGACATCAAATTTTAAAAAATCAGTATTTGCTTGTTCCCGTCGCAGTTTTGTAATACATGGAGGTAGCCGTAGCCCATACTCGGACTTTTAAATATGAAGTATTCCATGAATACACCAATTTACCTTAGATATCCAATTCCAACAGAATAAGCAGGTACTATCCAAAGCAAGAAGTGTATAAGTCACGTTTAAGAAATCAGTATTTGCTTGTTCTCGGCGCAGTTTTGTAATGTTTGCATGGTGGTAGCCCCTACTCGGACTTTGTACCTGTCCACGATGTAAACAGCTGATGTTCACGTGTACCACGAGTGTTACCTTCATGTTGATCAACCGTACACAAGTGCGCTGGGTCAGCTTGAACTTTGCTATGTACATGTTCTGCAAACAGCTTTTCCGCGCGTGCGGAACCACAAGTTCAAGTGCGTACACACCGGCTTTTCGCACATTCATCTACTTTTGAATAACCATTTCAAGCTGTTTGAAAAAACATTGAAAATGTGTCTACGTAAGGCCACATGAATTTTATTTCTTGGTTCAAGCAACAGGGCGAAACAAAATAAAAACTGGCCAAGGCATCCTATGAAGGCCCTAAATGCTATCATAGAAGCCATGATTCAAAAAAAGAATTTCAAATTTCATTTTAATCAAACCACAGTGCTAGGTGGAAAACTGTAACAATGTTGAATGTTAGAGCATGTTATGACTATGAGCATTTTGGAGTTGGTTCTGGACCAAATTTTTTTTGTTTTCAAAATCACAAAAAAAAAGCAGGCAGATCAGAGAACCAATGGGTTAAATTTGTATAGCCTTAGAAATGGTATCAAACCTATACAGAAATGTCAAGATATCCACGAAAACAAAGATAATGCACATATAGCATTTCTAGGACTAATTCTTTCCGAAAGGGCACACCAATT